TTGAATATTTATATTTTATTTATTATTTATTTAGATTTATTTCTATTGTTTCGGTTTTAGACAATAACAACACTTCTTGATCAATTTAATGTTGCCAAAAAAATATTTTTTAAATTGGAAATAAAATACTAAATAACAATTTTTATTTCTGAGGTGACAACTGAAATTGCTGAATTAAACATGCAGCATTATTACATATCATAATTTATTTGCAGTGTTCAGGTTCACACTATTGGCAGTTCGAAAGGATCTTTGACTCTGCTCTCTGCGTTAGATGACATTCAAAGCATTGACCCTCTGCTACAGTCCTGTCTCTGTCTTTCTCTCTGCTGTCCAGGTCAGATCGGAAGCCTGCAGGCCACCCAGATGACTCACGAGGCGGTCATTCGGGATCTGGAATCGGAAAAGTCTCGTCTGAAGGACAAGGTGTTGCGTCTGGAGGAGGAAAGAGGGGCGCTGCAGAAGAAAAGTCAGACGCTGGACGAGAGGCAGAGACAGCAGATCCTCTCCCTGGAGAAGGTACGGATCAATCCCATCCAGTTTGCTGAATGTGGATCAGTTTAGGCCTGCTGGGAGTGTTTGGACACTTTGAATCACAACCAACTTTTTTTTTTAATTATTTGGACACTTTCTGGTTGTCAAACATCACAAGCATGATGCTAGTTGGTTTTATACAGCAAAAATTACTCAGAAAAGTAAAGTTAAGATAAGTTTTTTTTTTCTTTTTTTTTTGGCAGATGCCACTTAGTTTGATATTTTATATCTCAGTGACATTTTTAGTGTCCAACTATTTTTGGGCGGCATGATTTGTATTGTACCATATTAAAAAAAAAAACAATTTAAAAGAACAGTTTTCTATTTCAGTGTATTTTAAAATGTAATTAATTCCTGTGATGCAAAGCTGAATTTTCAACATCATTACTCCAGTCTTCAGTGTCACATGATTCTTCAGAAATCATTCTAATATGCTGATCAGCTGCTCAAGAGACATTTTTTTATTATTATCCATTTTTGTGGAAATGGTGAAACATTTTTTTAGGATTCTTTGGACACTTTGTGGTTGTCAAATATCACAAGCATGCTGCTAGTTGGTTTTATATTGTAAAAATGACTCCGAAAAGTGATGTTCTAAGCTCATGCTCTATTTTTTATTTTATTATTATTATTTTATTAATTCATTTTGCAAATGCTAATTAGTTAGCATTTGGTTAATTTTATACCAATGCAATGATATGCTTTGGGGGCACACGTTTTTATTGCACCATATTAAATACAACAATTTAAAATAACTGTTTTCTCTTTGAGTATATTTTAAAATGAAATGAAATGTTATTCCTGTGTTGGTAAAGCTGAATTTTCAGCATCATTACTCCAGTCTTCAGTGTCACATGATCCATCAGAAATCTTTTTAATATGCTGATTTGGTGCTCAAGAATCATTTTTTCTTATCATTGTCAGTTTTTGTAGAAACCGTAATACTTTTTTTTTTAGGATTCTTTGGACACTTTCTGGTTGCTGTGGCAGCAGTTTTTGCAGATGCCACTTGGTTTGATGTTTTATATCTAATGCAGTGATATTTGTAAGTGTCCAAATATGTTTTGGAGGCACAATTTGTACTGCACCAAAAGATCTTGAAGCATAGTTGGTGTGTTTAAGAGAAATGGAACGAGGAAAAACAGCTCAAGTTTGCAGAATCTGTCTGTAAGTAGCTCAAACATCGATCTTCTGCAGAAACATTTATTTCGCATGAGTTCCTCTGAGACGTCATTAGCTTAAGCTTTAAGCATATAGAAGCTCATTTCTTGTGTAAAACACTAGCTGCTTTATCACAGCTAAATCCAGACCTCTATGTTTTATTCAAAACGCTCCATGCTCACTGCAGAGCGCTCAAGACCTTAGAAAATATGTCTTTTTGTGGACGGCTGGTTTGATTGAAAAGGAATTCGTATTTTTCAGTGGTTTCACTCAGCCTGGCAATCATTTTTCTTGTGTGGAGACAGCATGGCTATTTATTTGACTTGCTAGAGTATGGCATTTCATGCTGTTTTCACGCAACAATCTGTTCTAGCAGTTTGGCTTTTTGGCTGTCCTGTCGCATTTAGGTTTTCTTCCATTATTAATACATTGAGAGCCCCAATAAACAGATTGTTGGAATGTGGGCTTGTTTCTGCTCCAGAAATATCCCTCTCAGCAGTTTTAAAAGTAGACTTTGGGAAACTTTTAAAAAGCTGTGGTGCAGTCCGTCATGCGACACATTGCGGTGATTTATGTATTTAGGTTTTTTGTCAAGGTAAAAATCAACTTAAAACATGTCTTAACACTCAAAAAAATATTTGTGTCTGATTTTAAGATCTATGTATTTGAATTGCATGCAAAATTTCTGTCCGTTTGGATTACAAGTTTTAACAAACTAATGTTTCAAACTAACTTCATGTGATGCATATTTGTCAGTCATAAAATAAATGAAACAGGTCAGATTTCTACACTTAAAAAAATTCAGTCAAATTAAAAACATGGCATAATTTATTTTTAAATATTTCCATCTATTTGATTTTATTTAAATAGTCATATTTTGATGCAAATTTATTCAGTTAAAAAGTTTGAACATGATTAAAATATGGCTAACAATATTAAGTTAGTTCAAATGTATGAGATTGATGGAAATCGGATTTAGAGATGATAAATATATAAACCTGATAAATATTACATTAAGTTAACGATGTATTATATGCAATTATATGAATTTTATATGCAATTCAAATGCATAAAGCTTCAATTCAGGCCTATTTTGTATTTATTTATATAATTATTTATTTTTCACTATCATCTCTTTCACTTGCGTTCCATATATCTGTTTTCGAAACACAAGTCCTCTGTGAACATTAACCTAATAAACACATCAAATTGGGGTCAGCTGGAATCTAAATTTAGCACTTCTCTAAAACCAACTTGTCAAAAATGTAGTATGTAGAATATACAAAATGCCAAAATGTCTCATCAAGCTTTTTCTCCATTTCTTTCTGTCGCCCACATCACAGTTTGTTAGCAGCACAGCCTTGAGTTAGGTGTTACTTTGACAAAGCTCACCAAATAGAGCAGGAAAGCATTGTGGAGTGATTCGCTCTGCCGACACTTCTGCTGGTCCTATAATGGGAAGTTTATTTACCTGTGGCCATCTGCTTCACAGTGGCAGTGTGGGCTTTGAAAGTGTCTTTCAGCTTTCACTGTTATACTTTTAGATTGGATTCATAACATTTCTGAACAAGAGACAGTGTCCTTTATTGATGCCTGTTTGTGCTTTTTTCACAAACCGTACTCTCATACAAACTAACTTTCACAGGCTGACTTTTCGTTTTGCGTCATGTTTATCTATGTGAATGCAAAAAGGGCTTCATAATACTGTTGTGCACTGATTTCTTTTTTTTTATGAAAAGTCTTTATCTAAATTATATTAAAGTTTATTTAATGAGTCAAACTTTCAGAACTCAAAGCTTCCTTCTCAGTCCAAAAGGACCATTTATTGAAACCAAATTTCAAAGACCACTTGACAAACCTTTACCTTTGTTGAATAACTAAGCAGCTTTTTTATATAAGCATCATTTTAAATACATTTGTCTTTTTTTCCCTCAACAGTCACTTCGAGAAGAAAAGCAGATCTATGAGAAGGAGCTCATGAACTTGCGTGCCAAATATGAAGAGGACACTGCTCACTTTAAGGATGCCCACAGCCGGGCATTGGACGAGATCTCCAGGAAGCACCGGGCAGCTCTGGAGAACACACAGAGCTTCTCCGAGAAAGAGAAGAACCAACTCCTGTCCGTGAGTGAACTCTGTCACAACACCCACTGGCTGTCAGCCTGGGCCCACATACAACTTTCTAAAGACTCCCAGAGCTGTCCTGTTGAGATATCAGCATGACTGCGCTTTAGTTGTTAGGTTCAGACTGAAGAGTAACTCGCTGTCTAGCATCAGTCAGGAGGTGTCACACTGAGAAAGAACAAGAAGTACTTTTGAGTGCAAGTGGAAGATCAGAGAGAACAATTGTTACAGGTTCAGGATTGGAGAACATAATAATTTGAAATCAGATTCAAAATGTACAAGTTTTGAAAAACACATTTAGGCCTATTAGTGTTTATTTACTAGCGCATAAGAATCCAGTCTGTGTGTTGAGATAATAATTAGGTACTGACATAGAAGAAATTAGATCCAAAATGTTGTTTTAGATGTTGTGATACAAAGGTGTATGTCTTATACACTATTTGTTTGTTTGTTTGTTTGTTTGTTTGTTTGTTTGTTTGTTTGTTTCCAGTGTTGTTAATTGTTAACTAAAACTATTAAAATAGTTTTTGGAAATTGAAATAAAGATTAAATAAAATCAAATATAAATATTTGATGACGTAAAAAAATAAAAAATAAAACGAGAAAATTAGAAATGTTGCCTTGGTAACAAACTGTAAAATAAATAAATACATTTAAGTTGAAGTACTAAAATAATAATAATAATGATGATGATGATGATGATGATGGTAATAATAATAATAATAAATTATACCTAAATATAAATATTTATAAAAAATGACAAAAGCAAATGACAAAACTAATAAGACGTAAACTAAAATGAAAATGAAAATTGAAAATATAGTAATAAAAGTTAATTCTAAAATATTAATAAACACTATAATATTATATGTATAATACTAAACTAGCACTGGTTAGAGTATTTTAAACATTTAGATTCATTCTTTCATTCATTTAATTTAATTTCAGTGTTGTCATTATAAATTTGAAACCATTAAAATTTGTTTTTGCTAATTGAAATAAAGATGAAATAAAATAGAAATATTAGATGAAAAACTTAAAAATGAGACAATTAAAAATGTTGCCTTGGCAACTAACTGAAATAAAATAAGTTGAAGTTAACAAAATTACTTAAACTTAAACTAAAATGAAAATGAAAACATAACAATAAAAGCTGATTCAAAATATTAATAAATACTTAAATATTGAATAAATAAAATTAAATAATATTGGATAAACTGGTTTACACTTTTGATTTACTTATTTATTTAATCCATTTTTTTCTTGATTTTGTAAACACATGAATTTGCATCAAAATACTTGATATATCAAAACACTAAATGCTAGTTTGATTGGACATCAACAACAAAAGATTTGGTGTAGTGTATTTTCCTACCTTTTAAAGTTTTTATTTTGCTATCCTAACCATTCGGGTCCCCTTGCACGTCTTAAATGTCAACTGCACTTCTAGACTAACATATCTTACACTTAAATAAATAACTACGAAGTTGTTAAAAAGTTTTTTTTCCCCTTCCTTTGGTCATGTCTTATCTTGCCTAGAGCACCAAGTGAACCAGAACTGCCACTTCAAACAAAAAAACAGGTGCACGATGCCTCTGAAATCACCAGCTGATTTTCTAAAGAACTAGAGAATAAAAGTCACATGAGAAACTTTAAAAGGTCCTCCAATGTAATCAGGCTATAAAACACTTTTTATGTTAATCATGATTATTTTAGGATTGCGTGTTTGAGAGAGAGGGAAAGAAGAAACACTAAACCAATAGACAGAGAGAAAGGGGAAGCGCAGGTGCCTCAGCTCCAGGAGGTTCGGTAGAAAGGAAGAGTGCGGTATCCATGCTTCGTTAGGCACCACAGTGCAAATCTCTGTCACCTCTGTCCTGCCTCCGTCTCACCCTCTCCGTCCTGCACATGGTGTCTCAGACAGGACACACTCACTCTTTATTGATTTAAAAATGGAAATCATAACTTATTTCCCTTGACTAAACCGTCTGTTTTGATTCTGCTAGCTGATAGCATCTGAAATAAAAGTATGCAAAGCTGCACGGGATTGTCAGAGCGCAATCTGTCACCCTCCCCCAAAATAGGCAACTGCCAGCAGGCCGGCACATCCACATCCAAATGCTTCGCAACTACTTCATCTTTTTGTAATTACAAATCACTCACACACAGATCGTTAGCTGAACGTCGCAGAGCAGCAGTGAGTTATTTCTCTTTCCTGTTCAGAGAGCGTGCCCGCAGTTATGGTGTTCCCAGGGTGTGCGATCATTTTCAGGTCACTGAAGCCAAGGTCTAACGAGGATGTTGACTCATGTCAAGGAGGTCTGGAGAACCTGGAGAGAGACATTCAGTACCGTATAATTCAATATTTTAAACATTGGTAATAATAAGAAATGTTTCTTGAGCAGAAAATCGGCATATTAGAATGATTTCTGAAGGATCATGTGACACTGAAGACTGGAATAATGATGCTGAAAATTCAGCTTTGCCTTCACAATAATACATTTCGAAATATTAAAAATGTTAAAACCATTCTACAATGTATTCAAATAGTAAAAAAAGTTATTTAAATGGTAATAGTTTAAACTGTAATATTTCATACAACACGTTTTACTGTATTTTTGATCAAATAAATGCAGCCTTGGTAAGCACAAGAGACTTTCCTTCCAAAAACAAAATTAGAAGATCTTACTGCTTTTGAACTGTGTTGTTTCATTTTTTCAATCAAGTGCTTTCTGTACAAAGAAAAATTCCAATAACATCTGGAAATTATATTGTTATTTTAATTGTAAACAAAACCTCATGACTGCTTACATTCATAAATACATATGTAAAATATGGGTAAACTTGGATTAATACAACCTGTCAATTATTGACAAAGGGATTCATTCATGCACATTTTGATCATAAACATTCAAGGTTGAGTTTGTTACTGTGTTTATTTTTAAAAGTGTTCACCTGTATTTATAATTTTTGGTATGCAAATATGGTTAAGCAAAATCATTGGTTTTGTTTGGCTTGTAAAAGTTATGGTCCCACCCCCTTTATGAGCTAGTGCATTCTGATTGGTGGATTAAGATTCTTTTAAGAAGGTCCACTGAAGGATTGAGAGAGAAAGGGACGCGAGGTTGTTTTACTCCGTGGTTGTTGCAGTCTTTAAATTACTATTTTGTGATAAAGTGGGTGTTTTCGGCAAGAATTCATCTGTCAGTGTTTTAATAGTATTTCTCATGTAGATCGATGTCTGATTTGAGTATTTCAAGCGAGTTTTATGAACTAAGTGTCACGCACGCAACACTGTTTACATTCAGACGGAAGCCGGTTGTTACAGGAGAAGCGTCGCAGCCCAGATAGCACTCTGAGTCCCCGCAAGATTCAGAGTTCCTCTGGCACCGCTGGAGAGTACACAGCATCGTGGAAGAGTTTACAGCCGGCGTCGGAGCAAGTTAGGACTGGAGCGGGCTGTTTGCAGGCTCAGATTAAGAATTCAGAGGCCCCTGGGCACAAAGTCTTGTAAGGGCCCCCCTACTCCACACAATCAAGGTCTTGAATTATATGGTACTCTTTGTTGGAAACACCTCTAACTTATGCAGGATTTACACTGACAGGTTACAGCCTATGATCACAACCTGAAGGACAATATCAACACCTGTACACATCCTCCATCATACAGGATATACTGTA